ACGAAGAAAGGTTAAGGAAAATCGGCCTGACGACGCTGGAGAACAGGAGGGTTAGGGGAGACATGATAACGACATACAAAATACTGCGTGTGTGTGGAATAGATAAGGTAGACAGAGACAGGATGTTCCAGAGATGGGACACAGAAACAATGGGTCACAATTGGAAGCTGAAGACTCAGATGAGTCAAAGGGATGTTAGGAAGTATTTCTTCGTCACAGAGTTGTCAGGAAGTGGAATAGTCTAGCAAGTGATGTAGTGGAGGCAGGAACCATACATAGCTTTAAGACGAGGTATGATAAAGCTCAGGGAGCAGAGAGAGAGAGAGGACCTAATAGCGATCAGTGAAGAGGCGGGGCCAGGAGCTGAGTCTCGACCCCTGCAACCACAATTAGGCGAGTACAGTTGAGTACATAATGCATTTGTAAATCAAAAATATAATTATTGGCTATGACATTTTTATAGTATGGCTATGGCAGGTACATGAGTGGGTGTGAGTTAGACCTGTCTAACACTAGCATGAGTCTGTGGTGGTTAAAGAGATACCAGCAAACACTGAAGATAATTATGGAAATGTTTGTGTGGTGTGTTTGTTCATTGTCTTAACATGTCAGTATTATATACCCGATTATCGCCATGGGCCAGTAGGCCCACTGTAGTGCTCCACTATTCTCGTATTACAATATTTTTTCTATGTTACTGTTTCGTAGACACTGTACTTATTGGAGTTGATATACAACCCAGGCCTGCCTGTGTTGCTCATTGACATGTCATTTTCCCAAAGATTAGTATGAGTGTTCATAATACTTTTGGAAAATACTGTATATTTTCCAGAAATACGGTAATTTATAGGTAAATAGATGCCCTATATTGTATTTAATACAAGTGTATTTTTAAAAAGAGGACAGTCGCCATTTTGTTTGAATTTGGATTAGAAACGTTGGTGTAATGGGAAGAATTTTTCGTGCTCTAGAGGTTAAAATTGGGCTGACACCTCTCAAATAGGAGGCGAAATTGGTGGATGTGCATTCCTGCATAACTTGAGATATCAGGCGACTGGACAAGACAGCTCCAGGAACCTCAGATAAGTCTTATGTAGTAACCTGGCCAGTGTTATTTTCATAGATAGACAGTGAGGTTTTCTGAGTATGATACACAATAATCTCCAGTCAAATTGGTGAGTGATATTAAGAGATTTTCCTTCTGTTATATAAATGTGTGTATATATAATCCTTTTTTTTAATTTTAATATACAGTCCACAAATTTATATATTTACTAGTATTCCTGGAGATGTATAATTCATTTAATTAATAGGTCCAGAGCAACTTGTGGATATGACATTGGTAGGTAATCGAAGGGGGACATTTTTTGCGACCTAGGTGTCCCAAATTCCTACTTGTCTAACCGATAAATAATAATTATCTATGTTTATTTACTGTTATGTAAATAATGATACATTCAGATAAATGCAATTTTCCACACTACTCATCTGATGTTAGATAATAATCTGTGAGCCTCACACACAATGTCGAAGTATTTTATCCATAGTGGTATATTACAAACTAGTCTGGGAAAATACCAGACTTTGTAAACTGTAAATAAAGCATTATTACTTTTGTTTGCACGTGCGGTGACCTAATTAATGTCTGCATCAATAACTCATTACGATTGTGACCAGATATAAACATGTAAATAGTTCATTACCTTTGTAACCTGTAATAAAGTTGGTAGAATTACCGACAATATGTAAAGTAAAAGGACACAAGTGCAACTAATGTGACATTTTATTGTGGCAACGTTTCGCTCTCCAGGAGCTTTATCAAGCCATTACAAACAATACATGGACACAGAGGGTATATAAAGGCTCAGAGTGAGGTGCAATACTAGTGAGGTACCATTTCGATGTTCACTAGTGGTAGTGGTAGTAGTAGTAGTGGTAGTGACAAAAGTAATACAATATGGTAGAGCAATTAATTCGTACATGAGTAAAAGGATATAAAAGCTATTAATTGCTCTACCATATTGTATTACTTTTGTCACTACTACTACTACTGCCACTACTGAACATCGAAATGGTACCTAACTAGTATTGCACCTCACTCTGAGCCTTTATATACCCTCTGTGTCCATGTATTGTTTGTAATGGCTTGATATAGCTCCTGGAGAGCAAAACGTTGCCACAATAAAATGTCACATTAGTTGTACTTGTGTCTTTTTACTTTACCTTTGTAACCTGCTCATCTAACAAAACTTTGCGACACAGTCCCTGGACCCATTATGTACCTCTGTAATCCTTTGACTACCACCACAGGATGTGTATGGGATGCATAATAAAGATGTTAAACTAACATATGGAGGGTGTCTTAAAAACTCATGAGAAATGGGTGTGGGTAAGAGTGGAGAGTTTCAGGCATAGTCGAATTTAAACATGATGAAGCTATTGACGCCCTATTTGGCAAATGCAAAGAGAGTTAGTGTAATAACTGAAGTAGCAGCACTGGCGCCAGGATGCACAACCCCATGTAGGGGTTGCTATGTTACTCCAACTATAACTATGCCTTTTAATTATTCACTTTAAAAATATTAGAAGGAAAATAATACTGCAGATTCGTTCTCAGTGACTGAATGTATTTAATTACGATTAGTAAAATACTGCTGTAGACTTTTAATTTCCAGAAAATCAAATGTAATTTACAAACTATAACATGGTTAACATTGATAAAACATACGAAATCATTCAGTTTCCATTTTCTTTCTTGCATTTTAAAACAAAACGTCACGAATGACGTCCTAAGAAGAAAAGATAAGCTATCTTTGTTAAATTGTAGATTATATTTCATATATATAAAAATTGTAATTGCTGATAATTAATTAAAGAAGAGTATCAGGTATGAGCTTCAAGCTGGATTTAGTCATAAGGAAATGTAATATAGATTCTGAAAATCTAAGACGCCATGTACCTTACTAAGTGTCTAGAAGTAAATACACAGAGATCTAAATGGGTTGTGAAAACGTGCAATTACATTAAGTTTTATAACCTACATGAACGGCATCACTGTAGACAACAAGAGCATTTCACCCCTCCACGGAAGGTGTTCATTTAATATCACATACCTGCAAGTTCCTCCCAAGAAACTCATTGCTAGTAATCCCTTCCTTAAATCACTTGATAAAGCAACTGCTCAAGAAATTTCTCGCCTAGCTGGTAGTAATAAGTTATCACAAGTAATATACACTGATGGATCTAAACAGGAGTCTTCTGGCAGGGCTGCATCTGCTCTTGTTGCCACTTCCCTTGTTAAGAACGATAATAAACTTGTTGAACTAGGCATAAGAATTAACATTATTATTATTATAATCAAAAAGAAGCGCTAAACCACAAGGGTTATACAGCGCTGTATAAGAATTAACAACTGGGCGTCTACATTGCAAACTAAACTGTTTGCAATCCTAATGGCGCTAAAGCTAACCTATGACAGTGAGCTTGACTCTATCATCATTACTGATACTATGTCATCACTGAATGCTCTTAACTCATATAATGACTCCAACAACATGCTCATTGGAGAAGCCAGGTGTAGATACTCAAAAATCCGGGACAAAGGAATTAATGTACAATTGCTGTGGATCCCATCACACATTGGATTACTCTTTCGTGATAAAGTTGATATGTTAGCCAAGAAGAGTACCCAGGAGAATGTAGAATAAAACTTCGGTATATCTGCGTCTAGCATTAGGAATAATATTAGGAGAGAAGTAAATAATGAAAATGATTGTTATAGGAATGCAGTTAGAAGCCTGAGTAGATCTATAACTCACTATGATAACATGAACATAGATAAGTATGTTTATGGAGCAACTTGCAATGTGAACACTGACTGGTGTTGTAGTGGCCAGGCTTAGTCTTGGTTACAAGTACTTCTGGCAGTTTGGGAGACACACAGATGATGATCAAACTAAATGTAAATTATGTGTTCAGGCATATGGTCACTGTCTTGAACACTATGTGTTTAATTGTTCACTTCTTGAGGAATACAGAGATAGACAATGTAATAACCTATGTGACATGTCAGGATATCTTATTAATGAAAATAAGATACCAGATATACTAAGCAAATTTCCTAAATTTGCTTGTAACAGATAATTGAACTATAGATATGTAGATATTACCTGGAGTTTACCTGGAGAGAGTTCCGGGGGTCAACGCCCCCGCGGCCCGGTCTGTGACCAGGCCTCCTGGTGGATCAGAGCCTGATCAACCAGGCTGTTGCTGCTGGCTGCACGCAAACCAACGTACGAGCCACAGCCCGGCTGATCCGGAACTGACTTTAGGTGCTTGTCCAGTGCCAGCTTGAAGACTGCCAGGGGTCTGTTGGTAATCCCCCTTATGTGTGCTGGGAGGCAGTTGAACAGTCTCGGGCCCCTGACACTTATTGTATGGTCTCTTAACGTGCTAGTGACACCCCCGCTTTTCATTGGGGGGATGGTGCATCGTCTGCCAAGTCTTTTGCTTTCGTAGTGAGTGATTTTCGTGTGCAAGTTCGGTACTAGTCCCTCTAGGATTTTCCAGGTGTATATAATCATGTATCTCTCCCTCCTGCGTTCCAGGGAATACAGGTTTAGGAACCTCAAGCGCTCCCAATAATTAAGGTGTTTTATCTCCGTTATGCGCGCCGTGAAAGTTCTCTGTACATTTTCTAGGTCGGCAATTTCACCTGCCTTGAAAGGTGCTGTTAGTGTGCAGCAATATTCCAGCCTAGATAGAACAAGTGACCTGAAGAGTGTTATCATGGGCTTGGCCTCCCTAGTTTTGAAGGTTCTCATTATCCATCCTATCATTTTTCTAGCAGATGCGATTGATACAATGTTATGGTCCTTGAAGGTGAGATCCTCCGACATGATCACTCCCAGGTCTTTGACGTTGGTGTTTCGCTCTATTTTGTGGCCAGAATTTGTTTTGTACTCTGATGAAGATTTAATTTCATCAGAGTACAAAACAAATTCTGGCCACAAAATAGAGCGAAACACCAACGTCAAAGACCTGGGAGTGATCATGTCGGAGGATCTCACCTTCAAGGACCATAACATTGTATCAATAAATCCATATGTATTCCTGTTCCTATTCTTGTCATGATTGTGACTAGACCTACCTGGAGTTCATTACCTTTGTAAATTGTGAGTTCATTACCTTTGTAAATTGTGAATTCATTACCTCTGTAACTTGCTCAGCTATCAAAACTTTGAGGCCCAGTCCCTGGACCCATTATGTACCTCTGTAATCTTTTGACTACCGCCCACAGGATGGGTATGGGGTGCATAATAACTTCCTGTTAACCCTTTGGGGCCAAGTTCCTAGGCCTTTTGTGTAACCATATGCTCTTGCGCTACCGTCCACAGGATGGATATGGGGTGCACAATAAACTAGCCACTTCGGTGGCAAAATCTAATCTAAGACGCCCCTTTAGACCGAGGCCCTAAGTTGTAATTTGTTTAACTTATGCCTAAATCCAGCCCTGGGTGAGTGGTGGGTCTCATGGAAGGTTGGTGAGTGGTGGGTCTCGTGGAAGGTTGGTGAGTGGTGGGTCTCAGGGAAGGTTGGTGAGTGGTAGGTCTCATGGAAGGTGGGTGAGAGTGGTGGGTCTCAGGGAAGGTGGGGGAGTGGTGGGTCTCAGGGAGGGTGGGTGAGTGGTGGGTCTCAGGGAAGGTGGGTGAGTGGTGAGTTTCAGGGAAGGTGGGCGAGTGGTGGGTCTCAGGGAAAGTGGGTGAGTGGTGGGTCTCAGGGAAAGTGGGTGAGTGGTGGGTCTCAGGGAAAGTGGGTGAGTGGTGGGTCTCAGGGAAAGTGGGTGAGTGGTGGGTCTCAGGGAAAGTGGGTGAGTGGTGGGTCTCAGGGAAGGTGGGCGAGTGGTGGGTCTCAGGGAAAGTGGGTGAGTGGTGGGTCTCAGGGAAGGTAAGCGTGGTTGAGAGTGGAAGGTCTCCAGAGGCTGAAGTTGGATGCGTGTACTGGGTGGATGTTGCCAGGGTTGTGGGCAGTGTAGTTGAGCTGCGTCAGGTAGTAGAGAGTAGCATTCAAGTCGGGGTTGTCCAAGAGTCCCTCGCTCCACTTCTCTATCTACAAATAAATATATATTTAAAAAATTACAATCATGCTTACATCACACAGATGTGTATTGGATATATTAATAAATTTTACAAAGTTCATATTACGTTTAATTCGTCCTGAAATACATTACTGCAAGTTCACTCCCTTTACTTCAAAAACTATCTGCAGGGAGGAGCAGAGTGTTTGAAGAAAAAACAAACGCTGAAGAGAAGTTTTCATTGCAATAACACTTCGCTGTACTCATATATGTGTGAGTGCTTGTGATCGTGTGTGTGTGTATACTCGTGTGTGTGTGTACTCGTGTGCGTGTGTATACTCGTGTGTGTGTGTGTACTCACCTATTTGTGTGTGTGACCCAACAATTAATATCTGCACCAATAACTCATTACAGTTGTGACTGGGTGTGGATGTGTGAATTACTCATTACTGTTATGGGGCTATAGGACCCAACATGTATTTATAAGTAACAGTTACTCTGGAATACCTAATTATATTGAATTGATGGGGACTTAGCTCTAAATGTCATAAGGACTGATCACCCTTAGGACTGAGAGGCAGCTGGGTCAAGCCTTTTTTCTCAATATAATAGGTTATACTATAGACACACAAACACACAATTTAAATAAGTAGTTTATGAAGTTGTATTTCTTTTTGTAAAAGTAAAATTAAGGCGTGGTAGAATTGTGGTAACTGGAGAATTGTGCTTGGCAACAGTCTTTTGTTTTTGTGGGTGTGGGAGGAGCTTAGCTAGGCTCCTCCCCCTCCCTCTCTCTCTCTCTTCTCTTGTTGACATGGAGGTGGCAGGATCTCTGGGTCCTTCTTTCTATCTTTTGGGGCATTATGTGTGCTCCAGGGGTGAGTTTTTATAACTTAAGTTGTGGCCACCACACCCAGGGTGACTAAAGTGTGTCAAAACACTGGTTAACCCAGAGTTAGTCAAGAAGAGAGGACAAAATTGTTGAGATACACCATGTGGAGAACAGCTATGGAGTGTGTAGATCTTTGTTTTGAAAATGTGAGGCTGTAATTGTATATTCTGTACATATCTATTGAGAATACAGTTATATTTTTATAGTAGTAGTTTACATAACCTGTGAAGAGGGCTGGTGAGAGGATATCAGACACTCAAGATGATCAGCCATGATGTATCACCCCTAGACAGATAAGGCCATTAAGTAAAAAGCTACCCCACACTAGAACATGTAGTGAGAACCTTACTATCAAAGTAATAAGGGACAAACCAACGTAACAATTACTCTATAATTTGTTCATGACTGTAGTCATGTATAAACGTAAGTAACTAAATTTACTTACATGATTCATTACCTTAGTAACTTGAGTTCATTACCTTTGTACCTTGTTCATCTATCAAAACTTTGGGGCCCAGTCCCTGGATCCATTATGTACCTCTGTAATCTGTAAATGCCTTTGTAACTTGTCATGATTGTGACCATATCTACCTGAGCTTTGTAACTTGCTTAGCTATCAAAAATTTGGGTCCCAGTCCCTGGACCCATTATGTACCTCTGTAATCTTCTGCATACCGCCCACAGGATGGGTATGGGCATATTAAACATATTAAACTAAAACTCTGTATAGAACTTTACCTAATCATGACTTGACGCAGAGCGAAATTGTTCAATAAAGCTTACTCTGCAGTCTCTGCTGTGATTATACCAAAGCCAATACCACTAGGCTATCCCGACCTTTAACTTATAATTTTCAGAATTCTCTACTTTCAGCAGGATTTATTCTATTTCATCACCCTTTAAGAGTGAAATGAAGAGATAGTGAATGCCTTAATGCTGGTCAAGGAGCTCACGATTCGAGGAATTAAAGCAACTTTTCCTTTTCCCTGATCGAACCTGATTACCTCCCATTCCCCAAGCACTGAATGAATGTTTCAAATTACGAGGCCTCGAGACACTCTTTACAAGTACATGAGGATTATCAAGACTCACAATGGTGGAAACGATGCTGACATATTCACTCTTCCTATAGCCAAACTCTGGCCACAGCTGACCTATGTAGAAGTAGTCAAGGCCAGAGTTCACTCTAGGGTTGGCCTCGAAGATCTCGCCCTTGATGTGGGTGGCCAGCGGCCAGAAAAATGCGTAGGAGCAGACAAGGGCGGTAGAGGTCAGCAGCAGGAGAGACCACTTCACTGTCTTCTGCCATGCCTTCCTAACTGCTCCCGCAACTGCTTCACTCACCCAAGACAGAAGCACACCTGGTGAGAATAGCAATTCTTGGTGGTGGCGGTGAGGAGAAACAAAGAAAACTGGATAGTTTATGAGGCTTCAAAGAACTGACTCTGCCAATCTCTTTCCTTTACTTAATTCTGATTATATCTCAATAACCAGAAGTGTATGACCCTTACGTAATTAGCACTTCCCAGTGATTACAATACTAATAATTAATTAGGTATAAAACCTGTAGATTACAGGTATACAACAATGGTCATTAGGGTTGCATATCACCTATTCACCAGTCAAGAATATCTAAACCATTAAGACAGGGATTGAGGGAATTTGTGGCATATTTCCTTATACTTGTTGCCCGTGTCACCACAGGATGGGTATGGGGTGCATAAAGATATTAAACTAAAGTGTGTGTGTGTGTGTGTGTGTGTGTGTGTGTGTGTGACTCAACAATCAATATTTGCACCAATAACTCATTACAGTTGTGACCGGGTGTGGAAGTGTGAATTGCTCATTACTCTATAATTTGTTCATGATTAGCCAAAGTATAAACGTAAGTAACCATTCTACAGAATTCATTACCTTTGTAACTTGTGAGCTCATTACCTTTGTACCTAGTTCAGCTATCAAAACTTTGGGGGCCCAGTCCCTGGACCCATTACGTACCTCTGTAATCTGTAAATACCTTTGTAACTTGTCATGATTGTGACCAGACTTACCTGGAGTTCATTACCTTTGTAAATTGTGAGTTCATTACCTTTGTAAATTGTGAGTTCATTACCTTTGTAAATTGTGAGTTCATTACCTTTGTAAATTGTGAGTTCATTACCTCTGTAACTTGCTCAGCTATCAAAACTTTGGAGTCCAGTCCCTGGACCAATTATGTACCTCTGTAATCTTTTGACTACCGCCCACAGGATGGGTATGGGGTGCATAATAAACATATTAAACTAAACTAACCGTGTTCACCTGAAAGTTAACCATCGTTGTGGGTCGCATCCCTCGCATTCTTCTTCGACCGCAACATATCTCGTTTCCGTTAGGGCTCTTTGATCTTCATCCCCCGGTATGCTACCCCCAACAGTTGGCTAACACTCATGTACCTATATACTGCTAGGTGAACAGAGGCAATGGGTGTGAGGAAACGTCTAGTATTTTTACTTGAGTTGGGACCGAACCCAAGTATTTCAGATGTGAGTCAAAGGCGCTACCACTTGTGTTGGGATGGAGCCTAAGTATTTCAGATGCGAGCCGAAGACGCTACCTTTATCCACGAGCCGGTGTGTGTGTGTGTCTTTTACCTGTAATCATGCAGGAGAAGAGGTAAGCGGGGCAGTAGTGGTGGTAGTAGAGGACTCTAGACATGAAGAAGAATGGGAGGTAGTGTATAGCCCAGCATCCTGCCAGCCACCAGCACGCCACCAGCGCCTTACGCCGCACACCTGACCAACAAACACAATACTAAGAATCACTCTCTGCAACAAGAACTTTGGAGTCCAGTCCCTGGACCAATTATGTACCTCTGTAATCTTTTGACTACCGCCCACAGGATGGGTAGAGAGTGCATATTAAAGATATTAAACTTAAACTAAAGCTGCAACACAAAATAGGGTAACTTAACACAACACACACAATGTAATGTTGAACAAAAAGTAAATATACCTGCGTTGTGGGGGTTCTCTTGTGGACATCGAGAGTTGCAGTAGCTATGAGCGAGACTGAGCACAAGCACACCTATCAGGCACACTAGGTTCAGGTAGGTGAGGAAGGGGTTGGTCATGCCTACAGAAAACACTCCCTTCTCTGTCGTCCCCTGCGGAACGTACTCTCCAACCACCTTTTCCATCCTCCCGCTAGTTTTGTTCACTACGTATGTTCCCATCATCTGGATTCGCCAGAGTATGGGCCACATCCAGGGTCTGGCTGAGTGTTCGGCCTCTTCTTCGGTGCCCACGAGGAGAGAGTTACTGATGAACATATTTAAGTGTTGATGGATGATCTTGTCCCACAGACCCAGAGCCATGTCTTTCACCATCACCTTCTCCTTTACTGTTGAATTTTATTGTTTTATTAAGCACCCTACAACTAGATCTAGGTACAATTATACACAAGGGGACCGAATATCCAGGAAAATTTGTAATGTTTCCTGATTAATAAACCACTATTTAGGTAAAACTAAAACCAGAAAGTGTGAGAATATGCTTAGATAATACCTGCAGCTAACAGATTAAGTCAAGGTCAGGGCGGTATTTGCTTAGATTATATATTTTATGGTTAGCGTACAAACAAAACCTAGACCGTCGTCCTTAAAGGTCTAGGACAAGGTTGTCCAGCTAGGGGTGCATGAACTCCTTGGTGGTCACTGAAGCCTCAGCAAGGGTGCATGCACTCCTTGGTGGTCACTGAAGCCTCAGCAAGGGTACATGCACTCCTTGGTGGTCACTGAAGCCTCAGCAAGGGTACATGAACGCTCCCTGAGATACAATGGTATTTTATGCTATTTGGTAAATGAATATCTTATTATTTCTACTTAAAAAATACATGCCGATCAAATATGAAATATTATGAATGACGGTCAATAAATATATTATGAATGACGGACAATAAATATATTATGAATGACGGACAATAAATATATTATGAATGACGGACAATAAATAAAGAGCCAAATTACTCATAAGTAAAATACAAATAATTTACGTTGTTTAACTTCAGTCGAACAGAGGATTTATTTTAGTGCATTTTTTAATGTATACATTTTTTACTAGAGTACTTTAGTTCTACAAATATGCAATAAAATGTGAATTCATATATTTTGTATATAACTTTAATCTTTTTTGTCGTCTCTCCAAAATTTGATGGGATGGGTAGGTGAGGGGGGGGATAAATATGGTCAACCACAAAATAGTGGATATTTCTGTCTAGTTGTTGAGATTTTTTTTAATAAAGTATGATGCTTCTGTCACGATGAAAAAAATATTAATACAAATATACAACGAGGACATAAAAATAATATTTTTTTTTTTCACAGGATGAAGTTAGCGAACATTTAAATACATTTATTAACCATTTAGCAGAGACACATGAAACTAAATTCAGTGAACATTAAACTGAGATAGACAAAGGTGAATTTAGGGAACATTTAGCTAGGATGTGTAGCTAGATAAACATTTATTTAATAAAGGTAAATATTAGGCTGACAAACATACAGTTCAGTGAAGAATAATTAACAAATGAGAGAGAGAGAGAGAGAGAGAAGAAATGCCAGCTGCTCTAAGCTACATCAATCACCAGCTGAGAGCTATATCAGCTTGGGGAAATAGATGGCAAGTAACATTTGCACCTGAGAAAACGCAAATGATCGTCTCTAGGCACCATGATGGTAATGTTGGTGCAGTAGTAAGGATGAATGGAAGGGTGTTGGCACCTGGAGAAGAAGTTGATATCCTTGGGGTGAAATTTGACTCCAAACTAACCATGAAGAAACATGTAAATCTTGCAAACAAGGCAGCCAGGAAGCTTACAGCACTTCGCCGTATCTCGCATCTGCTTGACAGTAGGGGTTGCAAGATCCTGTACGAGGCACAAGTACGCTCACACCTTGAGTATGCTCCACTTTCTTGGTTTGCCTGCCCCCCTCTCATCTGCGACTGCTTGACAGAGTAGAGAACAGAGCAAGACGTCTCATCTCTCGCCTGGACCCATCCTGGATAGATCTGTCATTTCAGCAGAGCCTTCAACACAGGGGGGACGTGGGTGGCCTTACTGTTATGTACAAGGCCAATATTGTCAAAGTACCACACTTGGATCCACTTCGAGGACAGCGTGAAACAAGCTTTTATGCCACAAGACGGGCAGAAAGCAGCAACTTCACTCTGGCTGTACCCTTCTCCAGAACATCACTCCATCTGAGATCCTATATACCCAGGATGACTCGAGTATGGAATACATTTGTACAGCATAATGATGTCAACGAGATAAAGTCAGTTGATCAAATGAAAATGCTGGCCCACAGAATGCTCCAACTTCATCCTGTTCCCTACTTGTATGTCTCATAACAATAAAAATGCTTTCAAATGAGCTGATGTAGGTAACAGCTCTTAGCTTGCCAATAAAGTTAGGAATCCTTAACCTGTAAATAGCTTGTCAATAAAGCTAGGGATCCTTAACCTTGACAAACCCTGTGTAAAAAGAGAGAGAGAGAGAGGAGAGAGAGAGAGAGAGAGGGAGAAACTGACGTTTAGGACTGACGTTCCAGTTAATGTGCCACTCTGTGCCTGGCTGTTCCATGTTCCTGGTGCATGTCACCTCCTTCGCTCCGTTGAATGCCCTGCAAGATTACAATTATGAATATCCTTTCTAAGTACCTTTTTCCGACTAACTTAGACATCATTAATACAAACATCATATACATATATATTAAGGAACACACATTTGCTTCTTATAAACCAGCAGGGGCGGCTCAAGAACTTTGTAGCTATGGGAATGTTTGAATTCCCTTGTATCAGGGTAATCTTTTGACTACCGCCCACTGGATGGGTATGGGGTGCATAATAAACATATTAAACTAACTAACTCAGTGTCCACAGAGCATCTTACATGACCAAGATGACTGTAACTATTATACTTCCCCTCTCTCTGCCACTTGGGGAGGAAGGGAGGAGGGTTATAACTGCTCCTTTGCGCAATATGAGATTAGATTTTGCCACCGAAGTGGCTAGTTTATTGTGCACCCTATAACCATCCTGTGGACGGTAGCGCAAGAGCATATGGATACACAAAATGCCTAGGAACTAGGCCCCAAAGGGTTAACAGGAATACATATGGATTTATATCTACATATCTATAGTTCATTTATCCGTTACAAGCAAATTTAGGAAATTTGCTTAGTATATCTGGTATCTTATTTTCATTAATAAGATATCTTGACATGTTACATAGGTTATTATATTGTCTATCTCTGTATTCCTCAATAAGTGGACAATTAAGCACATAATATTCAAGAGTGACCATATGCCTGATCACATAATTTACATTTAGTTTGATCATCATCTGTGTGTCTCCCAAACTGCCAGAAGTACTTGTAACCAAGCCTAAGTCTGGCCACTACAACATCAGTCAGTGTTCACATTGCAAGTTGCTCCATAAACATACTTATCTACGTTCATGTTATCATAGTGGGTTATAGATCTACTCAGGCTTCTAACTGCATTCCTATAACAATCATTTTCATTATTTACTTCTCTCCTAATATTATTCCTAATGCTAGACACAGATATACCAAAGTTATTATGGTACTCTTCTTGGCTAACATATCAACTTTATCATGAAAGAGTAATCCAATGTGTGATGGGATCCATAGCAATTGTACATTAATTCCTTTGTCCCGGATTTTTGAGTATCTATACCTGGCTTCTCCAATGAGCATGTTGTTGGAGCCATTATATGAGTTAAGAGCATTCAGTGATGACATAGTATCAGTAATGATGATAGAGTCAAGCTCACTGTCATAGGCTAGCTTTAGCGCCATTAGGATTGCAAACAGTTTAGTTTGCAATGTAGACGCCCAGTTGTTAATTCTTATACAGCGCTGTATAACCCTTGTGGTTTAGCGCTTCTTTTTGATTATAATAATAATAATGTTAATTCTTATGCCTAGTTCAACAAGTTTATTATCGTTCTTAACAAGGGAAGTGGCAACAAGAGCAGATGCAGCCCTGCCAGAAGACTCCTGTTTAGATCCATCAGTGTATATTACTTGTGATAACTTATTACTACCAGCTAGGCGAGAAATTTCTCGAGCAGTTGCTTTATCAAGTGATTTAAGGAAGGGATTACTAGCAATGAGTTTCTTGGGAGGAACTTGCAGGTATGTGATATTAAATGAACACATCTTCCGTGGAGGGGTGAAATGCTCTTGTTGTCTAGTGATATAGTTCATGCAGGTTATAAAACTTAAAGGATACGTGCTAGAGCACACTTACCAGGGAGGTGGCATTTGCCTGAGACCCCACTCGTTTACTCTCAGAATATTGTTGAGTTTATGAATGTCATAGTGACTGACGTTCTGACATATTAAGATTAATTAGCTCTAATTTAACATGTGTTCCAAAGGTCTATTCAGTGATGTGCGTGAGAAAGTACCGAGATTGATTTAAGTGTTATTAGTGGATTTTCTGGACCTAAGCCGAAATCTACACTTAGCGGGTTCTTGATACTAAGGACATTACTGGCGTGTGTGCTGAGTGAGTGTTGGTTATATAATGATTTGATGATATTTAGATATAGCGACAGCTCTTATTCGGCAAAAATTAAGTTGATGGATGTAATGTCCTGACCTCACCAACAACCCAAGACACCAGACCCTCAGGTAACATGCCAGTGGGACAGATAAAGTCGATTTCTCCTTACTCTGTTCTTTAAATATATTGTAATCCGTAATTTGTGCACTGCAGGTAGTAACGTGATTCAGATATACGATGTTGGTGTAGGGCAAGTGAGGTGATTAAGCACTGGAGCTTGTCAGTGTTATATCAGTGTTTTGTCTTGACCCTTCTTGTCAAGTCCACATTCATTATCCAGTACGCTGGAACATTTAGCCTGGTAATATATCCAGAAGCAAGGTGTTAACAAAGACATTATTCTAGTAAGTGTAACCGTGTCCAGTGTACGTCTTATATTTACAACCCCTTGTAGAGGAAAGTGTTCACTAAATCTTTGACAGTGTGTGTCGCAAGTGGCATGCTTAGCGTGAAACTCTGATTCTAACAGTAAGTCAAGTATATACACATATATAAACCTCCACAGAGGCTATCTGCTTGGAAGGAAGAGGATGGGGAGGAGGGCTACGAGAGACTGCGCTTGCAGAACAAGTAATGTCTACATCAAAGGATAAGAACAATAATTACAGTGAATTACATCAATATGTAAACCATTAAAATTCTGATACTCACTTTGACCTTTTCTGAAGAAATGATATATAGCAAGACCATAATATATTAATTATAATCTCAAATATGAGGCTCAGGGTAACTGAAAAGTTATAGCAGTGATTCATCTGTTAGGGTTGGAAGCAAACGTATTATTCATACCTTCAACATTCAGACTTGTATGTACCTACTGTTAACTATAGTCACCTGCACTGTGCCAGGTAGTGCTGTTGTTCCTCTTAACCTACCTGCTGCACAGCACCAAGATGGCACCTCCAGAAATGACAGAAAGGCGAAGCAAAACCACCTGTTTAGATTAACACTAAGTTCCTAATAGTCTTTCGGTTAATAATGATGGCAAGTAACCTGACAAGAATGCCAAGAGTCATACACCATCAGCTGCTACTCGAGGATCTGCAAGCAACTTCCAGTAGTGATTCCGTCATCAAAGGTCCTGCCAGATGGCCACCAGACGTCTCACTAGAGAGATTACCTGCCTTGCCCTGAGATGATCCAATTTATATTATATGCACTGATTCATCCACCTCTGAACTACCAACTAAAGCTACATTAGCATAGGGCCAATCATAATTTCTTTTCTTTCTGGCTAGCAGCTGGATTTCACAAAAGGGAAAGTATCCTCATTAATGATGCCACAAGAAAAGGGAGGGTTAGGCTATTTAGATTCGATCTAAGGAAGGGGAGAAGTCAAATTCCTAGGATCATGAGCCCCTACACCACGGAAAAAGACACTCCTTGAAGGGGACGTCCGTAATAAACAACTCACCATTCCTTGGGTAAGACGACCTTCTCATTGCCTTTGAGGAAGCAGTTTATCTTGTAGTGGCGCAGAAGGAAGTCGTGCTCGACCACCTGCAGAGGCTCACCTACCTTCGTCCCAGGTACCAACAGTTCCCACGTTTCAAATGGTCCACCAGCACCATCCTGCAGCACATGTTAGTGACACTTTAGCACACCCACCTACTACCCACACCTGTCCTATCAACGCTAGGTCATCTTGAAGAATAAAAGGCCACAGAATCGTGGCTGGAGCACAATAAAAACCTGTATATAAGAGAGGAGCCTTATGAAGACGTTTTGGTCCGTTCTGGACCACTAAAGTCAAGCCAGCTGTCACCTAACCATAACCCAGGATGAATCATGGTTAAGCCACAAACCTTGTCATAAAGTTCCTATCCTAAGTATGGATTTTTGGGGAAGGTTAGGTCATCTCAACGAGGTAGCGAAGGTAGGACAATTTGTACCTGTGAGTAGGAATCTCTTCCCTGGATGGGGATGCCATTCTCCTCACAGAATGCTTACATAACTAGAACCCATCATCTCTTTTAGCGTAAATGGCGGGGGTATTTTCCCTTTTGACTAAATTTTCTGACACGTATGTACAATGACGCGGCACAAATTATGGATATGGATTGTGGAATGTGAAAAATTGACTTTAGACAGTTTTACTTGATTTCTGATTATTATTTTTATAACTTGAGAGTGAATTTGACAGGACAATAACAAGTCGAAAATTGTATTATTAGTTTGATGTTAGAAATGGAATGTGTTTAAAACGCTACACAACGAAATAGTTATTGTGCTCTGCTAGTCAAACAAAACAAAAAAATTACACCTGTGCAAACTACACCTGTCACCCACACCTGTATCACTACACCTGTCACCCACACCTGTATCACTACACCTGTCACCCACACCTGTATCACTACACCTGTCACCCACACCTGTATCACTACACCTGTCACCCACACCTGTATCACTACACCTGTCACCCACACCTGCATCACTACATCTGTCACCCACACCTGCATCACTACATCTGTCACCCACACCTGTATCACTACATCTGTCACCCACACCTGTATCACTACACCTGTCACCCACACCTGTATCACTACACCTGTCACCCACACCTGTATCACTACATCTGTCACCCACACCTGTATCACTACACCTGTCACCCACAACCTGTATCACTTACATCTGTCACCCACACCTGTATCACTACACCTGTCACCCACACCTGTATCACTACACTGTCACCCACACCTGTATCACTACACCTGTCACCCACACCTGTATCACTACACCTGTCACCCACACCTGTATCACTACACCTGTCACCCACAACCTGTATCACTACATCTGTCACCCACACCTGTATCACTACACGTCACCCACACCTGTATCACTACATCTGTCACCCACACCTGTATCATACACCTGTCACCCACACCTGTATCACTACAACCTGTCACCCACACCTGTATCACTACATCTGTCACCCACACCTGTATCACTACATCTGTCACCCACACCTGTATCACTACACCTGTCACCCACACCTGCATCACTACATCTGTCACCCACACCTGTATCACTACACCTGTCACCCACACCTGTATCACTACACCTGTCACCCACAACCTGTATCACTACACCTGTCACCCACACCTGTATCACTACATCTGTCACCCACACCTGTATCACTACATCTGTCACCCACACCTGTATCACTACACCTGTCACCCACACCTGCATCACTACATCTGTCACCCACACCTGTATCACTACACCTGTCACCCACACCTGTATCACTACACCTGTCACCCACACCTGTATCACTACACCTGTCACCCACACCTGTCACCCACACCTGTATCACTACACCTGTCACCCACACCTGTATCACTACATCTGTCACCCACACCTGTATCACTACATCTGTCACCCACACCTGTATCACTACACCTGTCACCCACACCTGTATCACTACACCTGTCACCCACACCTGTATCACTACACCTGTCACCCACACCTGTATCACTACATCTGTCACCCACACCTGTATCACTACATCTGTCACCCAGACCTGTATCACTACACCTGTCACCCACACCTGTATCACTACATCTGTCACCCACACCTGTATCACTACATCTGTCACCCACACCTGTATCACTACACCTGTCACCCACACCTGTATCACTACACCTGTCACCAACACCTGTATCACTACACCTGTCACCCACACCTGTATCACTACATCTGTCACCCACACCTGTATCACTACACCTGTCACCCACACCTGTATCACTACATCTGTCACCCACACCTGTATCACTACATCTGTCACCCACACCTGTATCACTACACCTGTCACCCACACCTGTATCACTACACCTGTCACCCACACCTGTATCACTACACTGTCACCCACACCTGTATCACTACATCTGTCACCCACACCTGTATCACTACATCTGTCACCCACACCTGTATCACTACACCTGTCACCCACACCTGTATCACTACACCTGTCACCCACACCTGTATCACTACATCTGTCACCCACACCTGTCACCCACACCTGTATCACTACACCTGTCACCCACACCTGTAATCACTACACTGTCACCCACACCTGTATCACTACACCTGTCACCCACACCTGTATCACTACATCTGTCACCCACACCTGTATCACTACACCTGTCACCCACACCTGTATCACTACACCTGTCACCCACACCTGTATCACTACACCTGTCACCCACACCTGTATCACTACATCTGTCACCCACACCTGTATCACTACATCTGTCACCCACACCTGTATCACTACATCTGTCACCCACACCTGTATCACTACATCTGTCACCCACACCTGTATCACTACATCTGTCACCCACACCTGTATCACTACACCTGTCACCCACACCTGTATCACTACACCTGTCACCCACACCTGTATCACTACATCTGTCACCCACACCTGTATCACTACACCTGTCACCCACACCTGTATCACTACACCTGTCACCCACACCTGTATCACTACATCTGTCACCCACACCTGTATCACTACACCTGTCACCCACACCTGTATCACTACATCTGTCACCCACACCTGTATCACTACATACCTGTCACCCACACCTGTATCACTACACCTGTCACCCACACCTGCATCACTACACCTGTCACCCACACCTGTATCACTACATCTGTCACCCACACCTGTATCACTACACCTGTCACCCACACATGTATCACTACACCTGTCACCCACACCTGTATCACTACATCTGTCACCCACACCTGTATCACTACACCTGTCACCCACACCTGTATCACTACATCTGTCATCCACACCTGTATCACTACACCTGTCACCCACACCTGTATCACTACATCTGTCACCCACACCTGTATCACTACACCTGTCACCCACACCTGTATCACTACACCTGTCACCCACACCTGTATCACTACATCTGTCACCCACACCTGTATCATTACATGTCACCCACACCTGTATCACTACATCTGTCACCCACACCTGTATCACTACACTGTCACCCACACCTGTATCACTACACCTGTCACCCACACCTGTATCACTACACCTGTCACCCACACCTGTATCACTACACCTGTCACCCACACCTGTATCACTACACTGTCACCCACACCTGTATCACTACAGCTGTCACCCACACCTGTATCACTCACCTGTATCACTACATCTGTCACCCACACCTGTATCACTACACCTGTCACCCACACCTGTATCACTACACCTGTCACCCACACCTGTATCACTACACTGTCACCCACACCTGTATCACTACACCTGTCACCCACACCTGTATCACTACACCTGTCACCCACACCTGTATCACTACACCTGTCACCCACACCTGTATCACTACACCTGTCACCCAACCTGTATCACTACACTGTCACCTACACCTGTATCACTACACCTGTCCCCACACCTGTATCACTACACCTGTATCACACCTGTCACCCACACCTGTATCACTACACCTGTCACCCACACCTGTATCACTACACCTGTCACCCACACCTGTATCACTACATCTGTCACCCACTACCTGTATCACTACACCTGTCACCCACACCTGTATCACTACACCTGTCACCCACACCTGTATCACTACATCTGTCACCCACACCTGTATCACTACACCTGTCACCCACACCTGTATCACTACATCTGTCACCCACACCTGTATCACCTCACACCTGTCACCCACACCTGTATCACTACAACCTGTCACCCACACCTGTATCACACCTGTCACCCACACCTGTATCACTACACCTGTCACCCACACCTGTATCACTACACCTGTCACCCACACCTGTATCACTACATCTGTCACCCACACCTGTATCACTACACCTGTCACCCACACCTGTATCACTACACCTGTCACCCACACCTGTATCACACCTGTCACCCACACCTGTATCACTACAACCGCCCCCACCTGTTCACTCCTGTCACCCACACCTGTATCACTACACCTGTCACCCACACCTGTATCACTACACCTGTCACCCACACCTGTATCACTACACCTGTCACCCACACCTGTATCACTACATCTGTCACCCACACCTGTATCACTACACCTGTCACCCACACCTGTATCACTACATCTGTCACCCACACCTGTATCACTACACCTGTCACCCACACCTGTATCACTACACCTGTCACCCACACCTGTATCACTACACCTGTCACCCACACCTGTATCACTACACCTGTCACCCACACCTGTATCACTACACCTGTCACCCACACCTGTATCACTACATCTGTCACCCACACCTGTATCACTACACCTGTCACCCACACACCTGTATCACTACACCTGTCACCCACACCTGTATCACTACATCTGTCACCCACACCTGTATCACTACATCTGTCACCCACACCTGTATCACTACACCTGTCACCCACACCTGCATCACTACATCTGTCACCCACACCTGTATCACTACACCTGTCACCCACACCTGTATCACTACACCTGTCACCCACACCTGTATCACTACACCTGTATCACTACACCTGTCACCCACACCTGTATCACTACATCTGT